CAAAGAAGTTTGGAGGAAAATGGATACACCAATGGCTAGTAAGAAAACATTGAAGAATCTGGAATCCAAGAGAGCGTCTTCAAGTCCTGAGGATCAGCCTTCTAGGAAACAACGGAAGCGGGAAAACCATGTTCGAATTCCACCAGCCACAGAGCTATTTGCTGATACTAAATGTCCTAATTCATGGATCTGTAAAAATTCTGCATGTCGAGCCACTATTTCAACAGATGACACATTTTGTAAGAGGTGCTCTTGTTGCATTTGTCATTTATTTGATGACAATAAGGATCCAAGTCTCTGGTTGGAATGCAGTTCTGAATCTGTTTCGGGGGATTCTTGTGGCTTATCTTGCCATATTGAATGTGCCCTCCAACGCTGGAAGGTGGGAGTTGTTGATCTTGGTCAGTTGATGCATCTGGATGGAAGCTATTGCTGTGCTTCATGTGGCAAGGTTTCCGGGATATTGGGGCAAGTTGTTCACTTGTGGCTTTTTTTTCTATTACATAAACCCCAACTCTCTTCTTTAGTCAGATCCTCGAAATAGGCTTTTATCAAAATATTGTCGAGTATAATTATATTTTTTTAATTTGAGGAGGATGATAGCGACAAGTTGGTAACTTGGTAAAATTGGAGGAGAACTCTCTCTTCTCATGCGATACCATGTCTTTTGGTCTCTAATATTAGTATTTTAATTGCAACTATAAAGACCAGGTATCTTTTTAAGTGCAATATTGGAGGGACTTGCTCTTGTATATAATTACATTTTAAGTGCAAACACCGAATAACTCCTTTTGAGATGAGTTGCCATGATCATCATCATCATTAGATTGGGGGTGAGGTCTGCCATGGTAGTCAATGTCTGGATGTGCATGCATGTCTTGAAATGCATTTTTCTGTTCCTGATATTCTTCATTACAAAGAAATTTAATCCTCATACCTCCTATGATGTTCAAGTGTGATTGACATATTAGACATTTTTCATTTTGATGTTTTAAGAGTGTGTTTGGTTCTGTATACCCTCCTCCCCCTTCTTCTATTATCTCAGAGCAGTTTCTGTGGAAATCTTTCCACAGATTCTATAATGTTTATTCACAAAAAGAACCACAAATTGGCAGCAGCTATATACTTGCTATAAAAAGCCTCTGTGGTCTTTGCTCAATGCTTCTTAGCATGGCAGATGGCCTTGCCATTATGTTCCAAGTGACGGGTGTATTGTTGCGTAGTATGACTTAATTTCAGATTTAAGGTAAGATATAACATAGAAAAGCAGAGGTCCACCTAGAAGTAATTTTGACTTCATTGTATCAGGTTTTGAGGCAGTATGACATGAATATTGATTTTGCAGATACTGGAAGAAGCAGTTAACTATAGCTAAGGATGCTCGTCGTGTAGATATCCTCTGTTATAGGATATTCCTGAGTTACAGGCTCTTGGAAGGGACTTCCAGATTTAAAGAACTCCATCAATTTATCAAAGAAGCTAAGGAAAAATTGGAAACAGAAGTAGGTCCTCTGAATGATTCTACGAAAATGGCTAGGGGAATAGTCAGCAGACTCTCAGTAGCCGGAGATGTGCAGACTCTCTGTTCACTTGCTATTGAGAAAGCTGATGGATTGCTGGCCTCAAATTGCAGCACAAGCCTAAATAATATCGGTACTTCTTTTCTGAGATTTTGTTATTCTTCTTTTGAAATATGAAATTTCGGTCGTACGAATGAACTTTGTTTGTACCTTTGCAGAAAGTTCCCTTCCCGCAGCTTGCAAGTTTGTCTTCGAGGAAATTGCATCTTCTTCAGTTTTAGTTAAATTGATAGAAATATCTACTGCACCGTATGATGGTATTGAAGGGTACAAGCTGTGGTATTGTAAGACTAGAGAAGAGACTTACACCAAAGAACCTATTAAAGTCTTTCCAAGATCTCAAGGGAGGATTTGGATATCAAATCTGCAGCCCTGCACGGAGTATTCCTTCCGAATAGTATCCTTCGCTGAGGCTGGTGACTTGGGACATTCTGAGGCAAAATGTTTTACAAAGAGCATAGAGATAATTCACAAGAACTCAAACTCTCTCGCTGCAAATCTTCGAAAGGAGAATTCAGAAGACGGAGGAAGATCTGATGCCAAGCAAGACCACAAGACTGTAACAGACACTGAAACCAACTCCGAATTCAAGGTTCAAGACCTTGGGAAGATCTTGAGGCTAGCATGGGCCCAAGAACAAGGCTTTCTTAAGGGGCTTCATGGTGCAGATGTTAAAATATGTTCCAGGGATCATAGTTTTATTAATCCAGAAACTGTAATTGAAGACAGGTTTCAATCCATTCCAAGGAAGATTGACTTGAATGTTTCGTCAGTGCCTGATCTGAATGAAGAGTTTGCCCCTCCAGTTGAGTCATCTAGAGACAACTGGAACCATATGAAAACCAATGATGGATCAGCTGTTGACTCCCGGGTGGAAGCTTGCCTAAAGATGACACATAACACTAATGTGGAGATGCAAGATTCCATTAGCAATCTGACCAATGGATCGCCATCCCAAGCCGGGAATGTGTCGGGAAGCTTGGATGAAAACTTCGAATACTGTGTTAAAATTATTCGTTGGCTGGAATGTGAGGGCCATATTAAGGAGGAATTCAGAAAGAAGTTTCTGACGTGGTTCAGCTTGAGATCATCTAAGCAGGAACGCCGAGTAGTCCAGACTTTTATTAAGACTCTAATGGAAGATCCAAGTAGTTTGGCGGAACAGTTGGTTGATTCTTTTTCAGAAATCATAGCTGTGTCTGGCAAGAGGCCTAGAAATGGTTTCTGTGGTGAACTTTGGCATTAATTTATCCGGATTTTGGAAAGACAGTACTGCCAGTTAACTCCAAGACTTACATCCAAATGTCAATAGATATTGCTGATCATTACATCAATTCTTCATACAGGTATTTTCTAAGTCTCTTCTGAAATGATTCATTGCTGTAGTGAACAACTGCGAATGAAGTATTTTTCATTCTCTGAAATTTCTCAATTGCTTTTGTGGAGGCAGAAAAACTGCATTTTAGATTCTATTTGGAATTGGTAGTATTTCTTTTTATTGATGATAGAAGGGTAGATGCTTGACTTGGTTTTTAGGCATTTGTTTATCCAATTCATGGACATGGCTTAGCTTTTTGTAGCTGTTAAATCAGCCCTGAACTATTACATTATTTCCCATTTGGGGTTTCTTTTTTATGCAAATTCAACATTAATGCAATTTGTTTCTGAATCATTGTTCATTTTTATGTTCCAGTCATGATATTTACAGCGATCTGTTGTATTCTTGAATTTCTTTTCTCAATCTTCAATTAGTACATTGGATTATACAAGGCTGCATAAGATTGAAGTATATAGCTACGGGAAGTGTATGGCTCTCATTCAGTTAGAAGTAGGAAATCTATCCCAGCCCGACCAATGGAATGGTCGGGGCCCTTTCAAAAGTAAGAACCTCTAATCCGATGACCCTGACTGAAAAACACCTAATTAGGTCAGTAGCTAGCTAAGTAGGTTAGGTTGAGCTACATTTGATTGTAGTCTTGATAATTGCGGACATGATTAATGATTATCATACATGTACGATTAAGGAAGAGAGATGTGATAAAGTTTGTTAATTGTCTGGTTCAATTCTGATGTAAAATTTCTATTTGGACTATTTTGCTAACTGCTCGAAGCAAGAATACTATCCATTTTGGACATCAACACCTGTCAGACTATTCGACCAGAAAAAGAAGGGGTTTGTTTGTTATAGTCGAAGGCACCACTACTACAAGAAAAATGACATTTTGTAACTAGTTACTATGGAAAAATTTGGTTATCAAAGCTGGAGTAACAATTTACTCTTTAAATATTTGATTACTGATTAGTTGCATACATCTTTCTATGATCTAGTAATATGGAGGTATTTCGTTGCATCAATTCATTATTAAATCTCGAGCGCTTTAAACACCGTTTTGCTTGAACTAATTTGATGATCCGTGAATTTTGAATTTGCATGAATGAATAGATATATCATATATGGCTATATTTAATTTACTCTTTAGCTCTCAATTTTCTTGACTGATTAATATGTTTGATTTGTACTTCCATTGACTAGATGTCCAGTCGTGTATCCCCCTCTTAAGATTGTATTTTGTTTTATATTCTCAGTAGTAAAACTCAGATTCTCTATGAGAATGAAGTTGGTTCTTGATACTGGGTTCTATGAAACTAAGCTTGAGCACTAATATTTGGTATTTTCGCTTCTCGGAAGAAGAATCACTTCGTAATAACATGAAAATTGAGTATTGTCGTTATGCAAATGCACTTGGAAGTTGTTCGAGTTTCCTCTCATAGAATGCATAAAGCATATTAATGAACAAAATCTCGCAACCCATTTAACTCGAATTGCTGCCAACTTCCTTACAATTCGGAAGAACAAGTTACACATGTATGCTACACACCATGAACACGGCAAATGTAGTATAATAAATAAAATTTTAACTTATCTGTTTGTAACTGTTGAATTTACTATAAGAGTTTTATTCTGCTCAACGGAAAAGAAAGTTTGCCTATTATTCCCAGTCACATCTGGTCATTTTGGCTAGTCATGTTTATCGTGCAGTTCCTCCAAATATCATGCCAGAACATATACCATAATGAGTTAGAAATTAGTTGATAAAATTTAATGCAAGTTACATTAGTGTATGTCAAAATTGCTTCGAGTCCCGATCCAATGGCCACTCCTGCATGCAAAAATATAATAGTAAGGTAAGAATTACTTTCAAAATAAGTAATTTTTTACTTAAATGTTCAGAAGAAAAGTGATGTAGTACCAGAAAGAACTGGTCAAACACTGTTGGAAAGAATAGTGATGGATGAGAGGACAGTGAGGTTGTTTACTACATCAAGATGAGGCTTGCTGGAAGAGAAAATGCTCCTAATTGCATTACTAGTAGACAGAATAAACTCCCAATATCTTTGTTATAACAGAGATTATAGCAGCAAATCTAGCTCCCTTTGCATTTCCTGCTCCAAGCTCATTAGCCACTCTTATCACAATTCATCCAATGGATATGTAGGAAATGTCACTGATCTTTCTATCCTCTATATGTGGTGTTCTTTTCGTTTGGTGCACAATGCAACGGTGATCTCATGATATCCACAGTAGGTACTTATGTTCTTGAAACCTATATAAGATCTACGATTTCACCCTTGCACCGTATGATCCTAATTAGTAAAAAAAAAAAAATTTATATGTTGTTAGGACCCACTATTGTCAAAGCTCCATCATCTTCAAGTTGAAGTTTATACTGATGCTGACTGAACTGGTCTGGGAATGACAAAGGATCTACATTTGAGCATTACACATTTTTTGGTGGGAATTTAGTTACCTCGAGAAGTAAGAAGCAAGATGTGGTTTCGAGATCAAGAGTTGAAGCTGATTTCAAAGCAATGCTCAAGAAATGATTGAGTTACTGTGGTAAAAGATCTTGTTAAAGAAACTGCAAGTTATTTAAGAGGATACAGTGAAGCTCTACTGTGATAATAAAGTTTGCAATTAACATTACTCAGAATCCTGTTAATAATGGTAAGACCAAACACGTTCGAAGTTGATATGAATTTATGATTTATCAAAGAGATGATTGATTGAAAGGTTTGTACTTCACTTGTTTCCAGCATCAAACAATTAGCTGACAGAAAGGGTTGCCAGTACTAGCAAGTTGAGAATGCTTGAATATTTGAAGTAACAAGGGAAGCTGGGAAATTAGATGTAAATGTTATTAGCTATATTGGTATGCAACAAGGCTGTCTTTAAACACATTAGTTGGATCACTTCAATGATGATGATCGAATGCCATAAAAAAGGCTTAGCTTGCTCTCACTGGACACTAATTGGTTTTCAGAAGAGATAATCAACCATCATTTCAATTAGTATCAGAGTTAGGGCCATTAGTTCGAGTCATAAGAGCGTCATGTTAAGAGAGGGATTGTTGGGTGCAACAAGACCCTTTTTAAGTCCATATATTAGGTCACTCAAATGGCGGCTATCGAATGCCATAATAATTACTGAGTTTCCATGTGAGGATATCGTGTTTTTAGATGGGCAAATAGAGGATAAGAGTTCAAGGGCTTATTTTTCAAAATTGTGCATTTGAGGACGGTTCAATAAGAAAAATGAATTATGCGGGTAGATGAGGGGATGCATTGAAAGCTAAAGTTAAATAAATGAATGTGTCTCGTGCCTTATGGTTCAACAACATGCATGGCTGAGCACTTGTACAAATTGTCGGACACAGAGAGTTTAAGTGTAGTGAACCACATAGGCACACTGCCAAATTAACAATGGAGATGGCAGCAAATTCAGCGTCACATTTCGATTATGACGTTCGTGGAGTAAGTCGATATCCTGCCGAAAATCGTGAGGCCAACGATGAAGATGAACCATATCTTCTTCGATTCAAATCGTCATTTTCTTCAACAAGCTCACATTTGGATGATGAATTGCAATGGATCTCAATAACGGTGCTTTCATTTCTCCTCTACCCTTCTGCAGAAATCTCTTTTACACAATACAAAATCCTTAAAAATATGAAACACATTTAATGGAGTGAGTACTAATTGTTATCCATGAATGTGTCTGTCCGCCGCAAAAAGCTAACATCCTTGTTTTCAATTATATATGCATTTTTTGGCCGAAATGGAAGTTTTTTAACCAATAATTTTCTTCATTCGTGGGGTCGGGGCCGTGAGGGTGGGTGGGGGAGTTGATATACTCATAGGACCTGCTTGAGAGGCTCAAGAACTTAAAATTTTGAGTGTAATTGGTTTTTGTAATTTTATTTTTGGCAAAAGAAGTATTTCTGCTTCTAATGGTTGTATTGTTTATATTTTTCTGAGTAACGATGATTGAACATGTTCAAAGATAGAGAAAAGATGGACTCACTGACTTGACAGCACTTGTTTAGATGTTTGTTTTATTTATTTTTCAAACTGTTTAATCATGTGTAGACACATATCTTCCCCTTTTTGAACCTGTGTTTGAGTCTATTTGTGTAACACAATTGTATTTTTTCATCTAATAGGCAATAGCTTTCATATTTTTGTAACAACTTTTATGAAAAGTCATGACCCTTGAACGACGAAGATGTTCCAATTTTATATGAATGTATAAATTCTTCTTTGTTTTTCGCAGTTTTGCAAAAGGACAATTTTATGGTTCAAATGTGATTAATGTGTTACTATTAATGAGTCACATTAGTGTATTTATTAAATTTTTAATAATATACACGTTTTTAACATTCTCCCACTCGTCTAGATATCTCAATATGTATCAATACATGATCAAGACATGAATAAAAAAACATGTTTTCCCAAGATTTTAAATCCTTGTAAATCACACGAATTGCAGCGGTAAGTCTTTTATAAACAAGTATTATCATCCACATGTTCCCGTGAAATTTGTCTCCTTCGAATGAGAACCATATGTGGTACATATTTTTATGAATAAGCTTCCCAAAGCTCATTCAGGGGTTTTTCTTAATTTTCAATACTGCATAATTTCATCCTCTGAACTTTATGTATACAATCAAATGAGACGACAACTTGAAAGTTTGAAAATTTTAGTACTTGTTTGAGTCTTACAATCTAAAAACTCATTTTTAACAACACATTTTTTCTATAAAATAATTTTGCAGATAAATTTAAAATTTTTTCAACTTTTTTGTTGATAGCTAAAAATGACGTGGTAGATTTAGATAAAATTAATAGAAATTTAGGGGAGTAATGGCCGGAATGTATGAAAAATGAAGGCTGCTTTTCTTGATTTGA